GAACAATTGTGCAGCTTCCTTAGCAGTGCAACCGGCTGTGGCAGGCATGAAAGTCGCGTATTTAAAGAATCTATCCACTACGACCATAATCGTGCCAAACCCGTTTGACTTCGGCAAAGAAGTGATGAAATCCATAGATATGCTCTCCCATGGACGCTCAGCTACGGGTAGTGGCTCCAACAGCCCTCGTGGTTGCCTTTGCTCTACCTTGTCTTGTTGGTACACAAGACAAGTCTTCACATACTGTTCAATCTCTTCCCGCATTCGTGGCCAGAAATAGAAGGGCTCAATTAACGCCCTCGTTCTTTTCTACCTTAGATGCCCAGCCCACGGAGTATCGTGGCTTTCTTTGATAATACGCCGTCTGATGAATCCAAAATTTGGTATATAAACTCTTCGGCCAGTGGTAAGCAAGAACCCGTCTTCTACCCAAAACCGCTTGGTTTGGCCTTGGGCAGCCAGTTGCATTATCCTCTTGGCTTTCGGATCGTGTTGCATACCATCTTTGATTGCGCCTTGGAATTCGCTGCGAACTGAGGAGATGGCCGCTAGATCAACTTTCCTGCTCAAGGCATCGGCCACTACATTGCCCCTTCCTGGTTTATACTCTAAGGTGTAGTCAAATTCCGCCAAGAAATCCTGCCAACGAGCCTGCTTTGGTGTGATCTTCTTCTGTGACTAAAAATAGCTAGTGGCAACGTTGTCGGTTTTCACTACAAATTTGGAGCCTAGTAGATAATGTCTCCACGTGCGTAGACAATGCACAATGGCCGTCATCTCCTTATCCTGCACGGTGTACCATTTTTCAGCTTCATTTAACTTCTGGCTTTCAAATGCTATGGGGTGTTTCTCTTGCATCAAGACTCCCCCAATGGCAAAATCAGAGGCATCCGTATGAATCTCGAAGGTCTTTGCAAAATCGGGCAGCATCAAGACTGGTTCTTCAGTAACCGCAGTCTTAAGACCTTCAAATGCTCCCTGGCACTCCTCACTCCACACCCATGGCCTGTTCTTCTTCAGCAGCTCGGTCAGTGGGGCGGCTATAGTGGAGTACCCACTAATAAACCTGCGATAATAATTCGCAAGTCCAAGAAATAAATGTAGCTTGGTCACTTTCGTAGGCGCTTCCCAATCTTGGATTGCCTTTACCTTTGACTGGTCCATCCAAAGTTCGCCTTGGCTGATCACATGGCCCAAGAAGTGTATCTTGGGTTGGGCAAACTCACACTTCTCCCGCTTGACATAAAGCTGATTTTCCCGTAAAACCCTGAAGACTTTCTTCAAGTGCTCTACATGTTCCTCCAAAGTGTTACTATAGACGACTATGTCATCTAAGTACACTACTACGAACTGGTCCAAATAGGGATGTAGAATTTCGTTCATCAGCGTACAAAAAGTGACAGGTGCGTTGGTTAAGCCGAAGGGAATCACTAACCATTCGAATGCTCCATACCTGGTTACACATGTTGTCTTTGGTTCATCCCCCTCTGCGATGCGCACTTGATAGTAGCCTTTCCGGAGATCCATCTTGGTAAAGTACTTGGCCTGTCCAAGACGGTCAAATATATCTGCAATCAGCGGGATCGGATATTTGTTCCTAATTGTGATCTTGTTGAGTGCTCTATAGTCAATGCATAGACGCATCGACCCATCTTTCTTGTTTTGAAACAGCACTGGCGCACCATAAGGTGCCTTGGATGGACGGATGTGACCTACTTCAAGGATCTCTTTCAACTGCTTCCTCAGTTCCTCTAACTCAAGTGGAGCCATGCGGTAAGGTGCATGCGCAGGTGGCTTAGCTCCAGCCTCCAACTCTATCATGTGGTGTACCTCGCGCCTTGGAGGTAGTGTTTTTGGCAGCTCCTCCGGCATCACATCACTGTTTTCCTCCAAAACAGTTTCTATGCTTGGTGGCAAGGGCTCCATAGCACCATGGTCTTCACCCGAACTTGCAATGGTGGCTAAGAAGGTCGGTGCTCCTTTCTTCAAGCCCTTCACAATCTGCATGGCTGATAAGTGAGCATATCCGTCTTTCTTTGGCACCTTAACAAGAGGTACCATACAAGACCCTTCCCCTTCAATCACCATGAGTTGTTGAAGATAGGGATCAATCATCGTGTGGCAACGCTGAAAGAATTGTTGTCCAAGAATGACATCGGATATGTCCAAATGAGCTACGATAAAATTTGTTTTACCTCTCCACCTTCCTAATGTGATTCTAACCCCATGATCGACTCCACATACGGGAGTTGGTGGGGCGTTGACCGTCTTGAGGCGATTGTTGCTTGGAACAATTTTCAGTCCCAATTTTTTTGCCGCCGTTTTGGTCATGATATTGGCTTCAGCCCCGGAGTCCACCATGGCCCGAACTTGTTGCCCATTGATGGAGATGTCCACGTACTGCGTACTGAAATCCCCTGGCTTGTTGTCCTGTTTGGCTATGGCTCCACCTATTCCAACCATGCCCAACTGGGTTGTGTCTGCCGATTTCGCCTTCTCTTGTGCCTCCTTTTCCTTCCGCTCACGGACGATGGCACCAAGGCTCTACATCTCTGGGCACCTGGCATAATCGTGTGGTCCGCCGCATATGTAGCACCCATCGCCTTTGCTGGACTGCGTCCGCTTCTTCGAGTACTTCTGGCGTTCAAACCGTCTGCCATTCGGTTTGGGCGTGTGATGTTGTTTGGGATGTGCCGACTGTTCTCTGCCTCGGCCACGGTCTCCCCCACCTTTAGCTCGATTGCCCCTTGCCTCCTTGCCCTTCGCCTTGTCCAAACGATCATGTTTGAAATCTGTCAAGGTCTCGGCTTGAGTGATTGCTTCATCAATGGTTTTTACTTGACGCCGCTCTAACTCTGTCCTCGCCCAATTCTATAGTCCGTCCATGAAGGTGAACAGCATGTCATCCTCCGTGAGTTGGGGAATTTGGAGGGTCAAGATTGTGAACTCTTTCACATATGACCGAATACTTCCCGTCTGCTTCAACTCCCGAAGTTTGCGTTTCATTTCATACACAACATTATTGGGGAAGAAAGCTTTCTTAAATTCTTCACGAAATTGTTCCCATGTGTCGATGGTGCGTGTGCCCCTCTCAATCTTGGAATCTTTGCGTTTCCACCATTACATGGCTACATCAGAAAGATACAACACGGCAGTGTTGATCTTGTTGGCATCACTCCTGACCCGATTACACTTGAAATAATTCTCCAAGTGCCATAGGAAATTTCCCACCTCTAAGGCGTCGCGGACACCTTTGAATATTGGTGGCTTGGGAACCTCGACTCTGGTCTCCCTTTCCTGGACAAGTGATGTTGATCCAACAACCTCCCTATCTTCTTCGAGGGTTTGCACCTTGTTCTTTAACGCCTCGATCGTCTCAAGGGCGTCCAAGAACCTGAACTCCAAGGAAGTAATGGTTTCCTTCATCGCCAATTCAGTCCGCTTGCGCACCTCCAACTCCTTCCGGATGTTGTCAATTTCCTCAAGGGAGTGCTCCTCAAGGTCTTTGACGTTTTTGTCCAACCCATTCAAGCGCTGGCCTAAAATCTCAATGGCTTGCCTTGCCATCTCAACGCTGGCAATCCACTCATGTCCAACAGTAACGTCTACGGTATCTTTGCCGTCGTCACTTTCATCGACAATAGTGGGCGGGAGAGAAGTTTGTCCATCGCTTGGTGTAGGATCACTTGGTGGAGGATCATTTGGTGGAGAATCGGGCAGATTGGGTTCATTACCCTTCTGCTGCTTCTTCTCTTTCTTGTTCTTCTTTCCTCCATCAGTGCGGACGTTAGGGGTGCTGCTAGTGTCGCTACCTTCTCCTTCGTTCTTCATTCTCTTACGATGAGCCTGCTCTGATACCAATTGTCACGGACTTTTTGATTCGGACAATACTCCGTGCTGCACTTGACGGTTTACTCACGATTCTTGCACGTTCTTGCAAACTCAAGTAAGCCTTGAACTCAGATCGCTAAGAAAATAAGAAGAAAGACAGAATTTTGGAAGAAGGACTTCTATTACTTGATGGAATTATTGGATGCTTTACAAGTAAAATGACCTACTATTTATACTACTCTAATGCCTAAGAGTAAATAAATGCTACACTATACAAGTCCCTAAGTTCATGCCCTTAAGACATGTTTCTAAGTCTTCCAAAAAGGGACCCCTAGCTTCTCCTAGTCTGCCCCAACGTCTAGAGGCTCTGCACAAGCCTCTCCAAGGCTTGAAACTGCCGCCCCTCCACCTGCTGTAACGCCTAAAACGGCTGAAACGCCTGCCCCTACTGCCTACTTATGCGTCTGCCCCTTCGTCTGCTGGCCGTTTTGGGCAGTATGTCCCCTTGCGCCTGCTGCTGGTTGCCTAGACGGGTGGCGTTCTGCCTGGATGGATGGCGGGACGTCACACATATCTCTCTTTCTTCCTCTTTTTTTTTCATCTGTTAAGATGATAATGAAACAAATTCACTGACATGAAAGGGCTTTTAGACAAAGTAAATGAAGAAAAGAGCTTTTTCTCACACAGCTTAAAACTAGTCCTTACAGAATCAACAAGCTAACGCAATGTACAAGTTATATGGATAAATAATTTCCTTTTATTTACTTGATTTGTCCTATTTATGCAGGAAGAAAGTTGATTGAATACTAGGATGACATGTTTAAGAATGAGTGGATGGCAAAGAAAATTGCTTACTAGTGGTTCTTATAGAGAGTGGTTCAATCTCTTCCAACTTACATTTTATGGGCACTCAACCCAAGGTACTATAAACTTAATGGAGAAGCATGGACCTAGGAATTATGGAAGCTATGGACTTCAACATAAAATGCATCAAAAGAAGATGGATAATTATATAATTGAGATGGACTCTATGATTATCACCAATATGCTCATCAACAAGGCTATATCTAACGGTAAGTTGAAAATGAAGAAGGCATATGCAAAATAGGGAGAAACGTGAATAATCGCTCATAATATTTTTTTGTAAAAAAACATATATAAAACTTGAATCTTAATCCTCATTAAGGTAGATAATAGAAACATGTAATACGTAATTCTTATACTCTGATTAACATTATCACACATACTCCACTTCGTTACGTTATTTCCATCACAATCAAAGTAATTCTTATAAATACTTGAACTCGCAAAGGAGGGTTTTAAAAAACACACCCTCCATATATACAGTTGATTGACCATTATCTTAGACTTGTGAACCTTCTTCTTGTTGTTCTTGCAGAAGAGGAACTCTTTCATCAGAAGTAGTTACATTGCCTTTCTTGTTTTTCATTGTCTCATCTTCTTTGAGTTGTCCCCATAGTGTAGTATAATAACCAAGTCCACATATACATGCACTCAACATGCTGCACATTATATTCATCCATGTAAGCTTTATATTTACATCGCGTTCTTTAAATAATAATTTAACTTCAAGCTTACCTTCCATAGTGGAAAGTCGCTGCAAAGAGCACACAACCACAAGTGCTGGCAACTGGAACTCCCACAGGCTTGAAATATAGGATATAAGAGGGTCCTTTCAAACGCGAGCACCATATTTGAACATTGCTACGTATTAAACTCCCGAAAATTGCCTATTACGTATCAAAGCATCATCACCTTATTAAATTTATCTAATCAATAGCGACTAAATTTCAATACCTTTTAATCAAATGAGCTAATTACCGTTAAAACTATGACAAGAAGCTCCATATCAAGCTTAAGTTTCCAAACGCTAACATCTTTTTCCATAAATAGAGCAAGTAGCGCAGATTGGATCGTTCCAAATAAGGTATAAAGACATGTTATTTTCATCACATGTGGATGTTTCTTGCTAGTTCCGACCTGAAAGCAATTATATAATCCATTCAATATATATTTCAAATAGATATTATAAAAAAGGGAAAAGGGTCTGAAAAATAGTTCAACTTTGGCCGAAATTGTTGTTATGATACCAAATTTTATGGATGACCTTTTACCACTGCACTATTTAAATAGTGTATTTTAAAGGTATATATGTTTCCACATAGACACATTAGTATTTATTATGATGTTCACGTAGGTACAAATATACATTAAAAAGACACTATTAAATAGTATAGAGAGATAAAAGATACTTTCCAAAATTATGTATCATAACACCAATTTGATCAAAATTCAGATATATTTCAGACCTTCTTTTCCTATTAATTATTTTTACCTGAATAATGTTCCATATGACAAGAGCAAAGGAAGCAGATACAAACAAGAAGCAACCAAGAACCCAATTCTCATGTGTTGAAGTAAAGATGAAGAGGTGCGGTGACGTGGCAAGATGAAGAAAAGATGGAGAATGCTGCTTCACAACTGGACCTTTATAGAAAGTCATTGCTAATATTCCCATTATTGATATTAAGCTCCCAATCACTCTTACTATACTTCCTTGCCTCTTCAAGTCAATCCTTATTTTCCTACAAAAAAAATTAAAATATTATTGATCATGATGGTGGTTCTAGGAAGTATCTTAATTATGGTATAATGATTGTTAGTAGTGATTAATTGTGGTTGATAATTAGTGGTGAATAATACAGATAGCTAATAGCAGTGGTGAATAATAGTAGTATTTAATGTTGACAAATAGTGATAATTATATATTATTGTAATTAGTAGATGCAATAATAATAGTGAAGAAAAATCTTTTTAACAATGGAATAACACTAAAATTGGATCCAGAAAATCTTTGTTTGCGCCAATATCCTATTAAAGTATATAATTCATTTCACCAATATAAGTGTAAACGATCTTGACCTAATCACATAGTTTGGATACTAGCTAGTGGTTAAAAAATATTGTTTCTAAATATTGAAATCCCAATCAAGAGGTCATAAGATAACTATGTTTTTAGAGAGTACCTGAGAATAATTGCAATAATGAAAGAAAAAGCAGGTATCATGTTGGCTGCACCACATGCTACTATTGGAGAACTATAACTTAGTCCCACAAATGCAAGATTTTGAGCTATCGTTACCCTGCATGCATCATTATTAATTTTAAATGACTAATAATAATAATAATCAAGATCAAGAGTTTATATATACTTACCCTACTAAACCAAGGAAGAAGGCACGCAAAACAAGGGGAAACGTAAATAATGGCTCCTCAATCCTGCGATTACAAATTATTAATCAACGCGAGACACATTTTATTTATCTATGGAGAAGAAATAACTATGAATATATTTATGTCGTACTTGTTATTTTTATGGAAAAAGATAGAGAACGGAATGAGAAGTATAAAGCTCAGAGCATTTGTATAAACCACAAACACAAAAGAACTCATCCCTAGCTTTGACATGGTGGTGCTCGCCATAATCGTCAAGAAAATGGAGCAAGCTTCTATAATGATCATGGATGTGCATGGCAACATTTCTCCTATGGCAACCTTAACACCCATTCTCTCTTTTTATGTTTGTGTGTATTATTGTGTCACAACCTTCCCTATTTATAGATGTAAATTAATTCAAATTTTCTAAATGAACATGTTTTTGGAAAAAAATAAAAATAAAACAAGGCAACCTTTGATGGAAGTGATAAGCTACTTGGAAAAGAGAATTAGCTAATTGAGTGACCCATGCATGGCATGGAAGGAGGATGCAATAATAATTTAATGATATTAACTCATTCTTGATTTAAGAAAAAAAAAATTCATATGTACACCTATTAGCTTGTCCTACGTGGAATCTGAGCGTACTAAGGTGGTCTAAATTATTATTTATATATAAAATATTCCTCTATTCTAATTACTTCTCCAATTTTTAAATTTTTTCGGCTTTTTTTATTTGTTTATTTTGATAATTCAAAAGAGGATAAAAGATATTTTTTACCTAATATACCTTTTATTATTTACTTTGAAAAATATAAAATTTCTTTAAAATATTAAATTATTAATTTATCTATTTCATAATTAATATGGATAAAATAATAACTCGTTATATCCATTATTTTTTTGGTATATCTGTTAAATGGACAAATATTTTTATAGATAATTGATTAATAACCCCACAAGATTTGAGTTTGTGGCTGACATAAATTCAATTGGCCGTTGTATTGGAAAGAATGGAAGAATTTGAAAATGCAAGTACGTTAGCAGAAGAATAATTGAAATTAAAACGTCATGCACGTTTCTGGATATAAATATGTGGGCGCCTTGTCAGCTTTGGACGGACTACTTGTGTCACATTGTCAAGAAGTTGGTAGTCTTTTTATAAAAAAATATATACTATTAATTAAATTGTGATATTTTACATATAAATGAGTTTGGCCTTTGTACGTGATCATACAGAAGAGACAGTAAGATCAGGTTGGCATAATGTGGTACAATCGACGTGTATAAGTGTTAAGCGTTATAGACTTGTTAGAGTGATATTAGGATTGGAATACTAAAAGTCGATTAGACTGTCATGTGTTTTGTATAGCTGAAGTTTATTAGGTTAAGTTCTATGATTATTGTAGTAGTAGTACTCAACCACTATTCTTGTAAATGGTATACTCTATTGTAGTAATTCAACTCACTCATATAAAAATTGAATTTCTTGAAGTTGTTTCAATTTCATCGATATAATTAATAAAGTTGATACAAGTATACTATGAGGGCAAGATATTAGCAGATGAAGTATATATCAACTTTTTGTATGGTGTGAATTCAGATTGAGATAATTTTTTGAAAGGTGCAAATTATATTCTTCTGTGATTTGATTCAATAACTCCATCTGGGATTTTGATATATGAACAAACACAATCATGAGATTAACGTGGTCTTTATTTTTATAGCTCTGGCTAGTATTTATGTCACAATAAATATTTTTTTATGTGAATTTAAATTCAATCGAACTCTAATATAAGTATCGAAATAAAAAAAAAACTATTTAGTTATAAATAGATGTGATCCATTAAATAACAATAGGAATATTTGCTAATATAGTTTTACAAATTGAAGTGACTAAAATAAATGTACAACTAATTAGCACTAATTTAATTTCTTATTCTCATGTATATATGCGTGAGGATATTCAGGATCAGGCGTATCAAAGTAATTCAATTCTTCATCAGTCAAGGCTTTAAACGATTCATCCAATGGTGGTAGCTGCCAAATTTTTGCACCATATAACCATTCATCATGATCTCTGGACAGATTTAAGACACAATCAGGAACTACATTATCAGTTGTTGTAGAAGTATCTTGGTGATGTTTGCATAAATTAACTTTCTTTGTAATGAAACACACTACAAAGTCTTCATGTCTTATTTCACCGCATTCTCTTAATACATCCACTGTAGTTTTATCAAGACAATATTCTTTCACAATCCAGTATACAATTTCTTTATCTTCACTACCACTTTCTTCATCAAAACGAAAAGTTTTCTTATACCCAATTCGTGATCTTTCCTTGTCCAAAATTTCTTTACTATTGTCTCGTCCTTTCCATTTGCGACCTCCAACAATTGATCTGTTGAAGTTTTTACCCTTGATCGCTTTTCTCTTTAACTGAGTAAAGAAATAGTTTACATGATTATTACCTAAATTTTGGAATAATTCAGCTGGCTCTTTATCACCGTATAAGTCTACATACGGAATATCATCGTAGTCAATAGGCATTCCACGAATAAATTTCGTTAAACACCTTATTAGATCTTCATCGGTATATTTCATGTCTATAAATTTAAAATAATGTCAACTCCAACTTAAAAGATACAAAAACAAAAAGAAGATGGAGAAATATTTTAAGCAAGAAAAATATATAGAGAGTATATTTCCTAATTTGTGTAGGAAACTAATTATAGCTGTAAAAAATAAATTTCGAAAAGTAAAACCTTATTAGTTGGAGTTGTAATTTATTTTGGAAAACTTAACCTTATTCAAATACGAAAATAATTGAAGTTGGTATAATTTTATTTCTGGAAAAAACCTTATTCAAATAGAAAACAAATATGACTTATAATTTTATTTTTGGAAAACTCAAGCTTATTCAAATCGGAAACTCATTAAATTTGCGTTGTCTTTTTTTTTTTATTGAAATTTTTTAACCATTATTTTCATATTTGTGTCGAGAAGTTGACCATGAAAAGTTCTAGTTCCTAAAAAACAATATATAAATAATTATATTATTACCTAATAATTGTTACAAAATCTTGATTAGTCGAGATATCAGTAAATTAGGTTATAAATTGTACAAATTAGAGGACGAATTAATGTTAAGCTACTCTACCATATAGAGTTAATTAATAAAACCGAAAGGGAAAAAGAAAAATAAGAAGGTGAGAAAAGGAGGGGAAAAAAGTGTATATATATATATATATATATATATATATATATATATATATATATATATATATATATATATATATATATATATAGAATGTCTGAAGGATTAATACAATATCAAGATGACAAAGAATACGAGAGAGGGCCGGCTTAAATAAAATAAATAAAAATTGAAATTCGAATCTTTTTAAATTTATAATACTAAAGAAAACACAGTACTGCATAGTGCACTTTCATATTAACTTGAAGCAGCTTTATTTTAATTAATTTTTTAAGTGTAGAAGTTCTCACTTCTCAAAAATACCCAAAGAAATGCCTTTACACGTCTAGAAAGGTTGCATACATAATAAAAAGTTCTAATATTAACTGAGTTTTTCATGTTTAATAATGACAAGCTAAATAAAAGAAAACAATATTAGTAGACTAGAAAAATAGAAAATAATAACTTGAGACAATTCTTTAGTTTGTAAAAAAGGTCAACTGACAATGAATATATAAGGATATAACTACTAATATATAGATAAGAATAATTTTTAAAAAAAAATTAGGGGACAACTCTCTAGTTTCTTAAAAGGTCGTCCAATTAAGTGTCTTTTTATTGTATTTTTTAAATTTATTTTTTAATATTATTTGCTAAGTTGTTTAAGTAATATTCCATTATTTCATTACAAAATAAGGGAATACATTAAAATCCCTATAAATAAATACTTGATAAATTAATAATCTCTTTAAAATAATATCTTCTTTTGTCCTGACATGGGTCAATTAAAAAAAATCACCAATTTCGATAAAATAATATATTTTCAAAAGACCCCTACATAAATATATGGTCTCATTAATATCATAAATTAATAATTCTTTAAAGTACAAATATATCTAAGACAATTAAGTGAAATATAATTATATTGTGTTCTGATTTTTCTTAAAATTTAAATATAGTTGAAACTCATCTCTAACTTTTCGTATTGCATCCAAGAGCTCTAGTGTTGTCTTTTCGAACAGCACCATAAAATTGTGAAGATTTCTAGATGCAATAAGTGTTGTCTTACACGTATCTGGTTCCAAAGGTACTATCATCTTCAACTTCATCATCAACACTGTTTTTTTCGATAGTATCTACAATTTCTTCTAAACTCTAAACCTTTGAACAAGTATCATTTTCACTCGGACAATCCAACAGGTTTTTGACATCCATTTTATTATGGTAACCGAGATCATGATTAATCATGACCTCAAATTCATGAATGACGTTTTCACAAGTAGGTTCATTCATATTCTCTGAGATTGCATCTCCTCTACGTTTTTACTGTATAGAAAACAATTTGCTATTGTCTCTTGCAGAACATTTGTTGTTCAAACATGAATTGCATAACTGATATCATCCATAACATTGATCTTTGTTGGATCATTTTGTCCATGACCTTCTAATATCATACTATAAATTATGTTCGATAATACATCTTGAAGGTTCTTATTATCACAACATCACAATGTTGAAATTATTAAGAACAATGATTTTGATGTATTCGTTGTACTTTATGTATAACATTTTTTTATGTGAAATCGATAAATATGATACATACATTAGTAAGATACAATGATTTTGAGATAATAAAAAATTAACCTTCATCAAATCTCAAATTATTTTTTAAATTAATAAATATTAATTTATTTATTAAATAATATCTCTATAAATAAAATTTCATAATCTCACCCATATTAATTTATAGAGGTTTTACTGTACTATTTTTTTCCCTTATACGTTGTATAGCATTGATCTCTATCAAATTATTATTATGATCCAAAATTTTCGTAGTTTTCAGTATATCTATCCACGTTGCCTCATTTGCAAACACCGAAGGAACCAAGAAAATTGTTATGCTCTCTATAAGTATGCGAGAGTTTAAGATCTCCCGATTATGTTCTATATTTACAAATTATAGAGTTCGGAGTTTAAAGGATACAAAATATTAATAAAAATTTTAAAACGGTATATAAAATTTTATATTAACCAAAACGGTAAAATCGTTGCACCAACAGGTTACCCCACCGGAAAAAGAAAAATCGCTGTCTCTGCAGCCATTTTGCAAAATCTGATTTTTTTTTTTAAAAAATAAATCTTATAGAAAAATAATAATTTTTTTACAAAATCGCTGCCTAGGCAGCGATTTAAAAAAAATCTTTTTAAAAAAATGGCAGCGATTTCATAAAATAAAAAAAATTAAGGAAATCGTCGCAGGAGAAGCCCTTTCAAAAAAAAAAACTTAAATCGCTGCCCCAGCAGCGAATTTATATTTTTTTTAATTTTTTTTGTAATCGCTGCCCCTGCAGTGATTTCCTTAATTTTTTTTATGAAATCGCTGCTGGGAGCTTCGATTTCTTTATTTTTTTAAAAAAATGAAATCGCTGCTGGGGTAGCGATTTCTTAAAAAAATTGCTGCCTAGGCAGCGATTTTGTAAAAAAAAAAAAATTCTATAAATCGCTGCTTAGGCAGCGATTTCATTTTTTTTAAAAAAAATCAGATTTTGCAAAATCGCTGTAGAGTAAGTCACTGTTGGTGCAGCGATTTTACCGTTTTGGTTAATATAAAATTTTATATAGTATTTTAAAATTTTTGTTAATATTTTGTACCCTTTAGGTTCTGGACTCACAAATTATAGTACTACAAGATTCATATTGGTCATTGTTGGGACATCAATTTATTATCCTTTGCAATCTTGAGTTTTAACGTAAAGGATGATAATTATATCAAATATTATAGTACTACTAAGTGACTCATCCACATTTCACGTGATCAAATATATCTCATCATAATTTTAGTTGTTTGGTGAAGACATTCAAAAATCTCCTCTAAAAGTAATTGTTGAACTTTACAAAGCTTCATTTTTTCTTGCTTTAAGTTATGAACTTCACTCTAGAGTTATGATATTTTCGAGAGCAAATTACATACTCCATCATTATCTTTAATAGAATCATCAATTTATAAATAAGACACATTATCGTGATATTGTCCCTGAAAGTGTTAACAATAAAGAATTATAAATAGTTATATTGGGATAAAATAAAAATATATATATATCAATACAAAGAATTTGATCCGTAATAAAGATATAAGCTAAGAAAATTAAAAAGAAATTTTAATTTAAGAATTCAACTTATCAAAGAAAGTTCGGGAGAATTGGTTCAAGTGTGTTGTCGAGAATGATAATGTGAATCAGGTTTAGGTCACAATTCCTAAATTCAAATCTCGTCTGAAGCATAAAGAAGATCAGGTCGCACGAGCAATTGCATTATGGCAACAAAAATTGGTGTGTTGCATATAAGCATGTTGCGATATGTTTATAGTAACAGTTTTATAGCAACAGTAGTGAACTGTTGCAACACACTATTTATAGCAACAATTATTCTTTAGTTTAGAACGACACTTTTCTATGGTTGCTGCAACAGTTGCGAACAGTTGCAAAAGACCTATAGCAATAATTTTATTATACAACTCGGTCTACTCTATTACAACAGTTCTTCTAAACTATTGCTACAATGTTATTAAGCTATTGCAATAGACTTTTTAAATGGTAAACTATAATATAATGATAGAAAATATTAAATCAATATGTACTTCAACTAGTCGCATCCATATATTAAAGACAAGTATACATGATCTTGATTTACAATTCAAGAGTTAATATACATTGATGTTCACAAAAATTAAGCCTAAACATAAAAATAATCCTAGAATGTTCAAGAATTGTGCATTCATTCAACTTCACAAAATTAGGCCAAAAAGTAGAAAGTACTAAAGCCTTTAGTTTGCTCCTGAGTTTCATGGTCAATATCATAACCCTGTATATCTCCTGTACTTCACTTGTATATGCTCCACCTTCAATTAGTGATGCAACTTTCTTCAAATCTAATCCGCCACAAACAAACAAAAAAGACCATAAAACAAAATATACTTGGAAAAAAAATATACTTGCTAAAGGGGGAATTTTTCATTCTACTTCCAAAATAGCTTAAAATGCAAAACTTTAACTACCAAATTCAACTCAAACAAAGATTAGGATAGAAATATCGATAGTCATGTCTGATAGAAATTGCCTCGTAGGAGGAGAAGGTGGCTGCGTCGGAGTTTCTTCCTCGTAGCTCGTTGATCGGAGAATGGAAAAGAAAAGACCAGACGCTGGCTATTTCCGTGCTGCTATTTGTCATCGCCGGAGCTGCTGAAAAAGAGAAAAGAATGGAGGGAGGCGCTAGGGATATCGCCAGCTGCTGATGTTGTTATTCTCTCATCTTTGCCGGAAGAGAGAGAGTTGACGCTGCCTTGAGCTCGCTGGCTGGAGATTGTTGCTTCCGTCGATAGAGCCTGCTCGCTGGAGCTTCTGGCTATTGTTTCTCGCTAGGGGATAAAAG